CTTCGAGCTGCTGGCTCAGTCACCAAACCCACTTGGAGCAGAGTGTGTTTCAAACACATCATTGCAGTGCTGCTGTGCTGCAGTTACAGCCATAGAGTTCTGATTTCTTGGGGTTTCACAGGTGCCAAAATCTGTGGGAAAAGTGAGTGGGAGATTTCCCATCACATTAAGGAAAGACAAGAWTCTGCCTTTTCTTAATATCTTAATTATGTAATAACTTTTGCAGCCTCAGTAATGTGGTTGTTTATGGCTGACACCACGTGTGTGACAAACACAGAGGAAGTTTTCAATGGCTTTGAGTAAGTGCAGCCAGGACCATGCTGGAAAAACTCAGATTTAGGAGCTTTTGAAAAATGTTTCTTTAAATATCTGATTTGAAAGCCCGATTTCTGCGTGATAAAAAATATTTGCTGGTGTCCTGAATCCTTGAAAGGAGAGTGAATAATTCCAGTAAAGATACTGATCACAGTTTAAAGGTGTGGGATTTTTAGGAAAGTTAAATTTGATCTCTCTGATTCCAATTTTTGTTTTTAATTCATAGCTGGAAGATGCTGGTTCCAGCAGTTTGGACCATCTGCTGAGCAGATACATCACAGGCAGCCACCTCCCTCCCCAGCCCACCAGCACCATGAATCCCTCCCCAGGACCTTCAGCTCTGTCTCCAGGGTCATCAGGTAAATCTGATGGGTTTTTTTCTAAAGATTCCAGAAATCTGATGGGTTTTTTTCTAAATATTCCAGAAATCTGATGGGTTTTTTTCTAAAGATTCCAGAAATCTGATGGTTTTTTTTTCTAGAGATTCCAGAAATCTGATGGGTGTTTCTGGTATTTAAGTTGAAAATAATTGCCTTCTATTTCCTGCCAGAAGGGAAGTGATGTTTTATTTAAAATTGGTTATGTTCAGAAATAGATTCTTGTGGAAATTTAAATTTTACCCTCCTTCAGAAAACGGCTTTATAACAACAAACTGCCAGCACATGAGYGTTCCAGATTGGTGCAGGGACAATATCATGGTCATTCTGAGTGTAATTAATTAATGAGAGAGCTTTTCCTATGCATGTGAACAAATTAAGTCACCAGTATCTAATACCGGTGTTAACTAATAACAAATGTTATTTAAACAGTAAAAATATCTATTTCAGAGGATGGTTAAGATGWTTTCAGGCAATAGGAAGAAATTCCACCCTGTGAGCGTGGGGAGACCCTGGCACAGGGTGCCCAGAGCAGCTGTGGCTGCCCCTGGAAGTKWCMAASRCCAGKYTGGACAGGGTTTGGAGCACCCTGGGACAGTGGAAGKTGTCCCTGCCCATGGCAGGGGTGGCAMKGGATGATTTTTAAAGTYCCTCCCCACCCAAACCATTCTGGGAGTTGATGTTTTTCTTGGCCTTTTCTGTTGTAAAATTCTGTGAATTAGTGTGTGCAGCAGTGGGGTTTTCTGTGTTTCTCAAAACCGGCATGCAAACCGTGCAGAGGCTGCTTTTAAAATTTTATTGGTACATAAAATTTGAGGACATAATGGGCTGAATTGGCACTGTTTGGATTAGGTGAAATCATTACTGGGACTTGAAGAACTGTGTGTTGTGTCACTTTTTTATTTAATGTGAACGTGCTAGACTTTGTTGTGATCAAAGACTGATAGAACAGCTGGTTTAGGTGATTTATTAAATCAGGATATTGTAGCAGCAGAATGTGAATTTGTACCACATCAACTTCTTTGCTGCTTCTGTGCAGGTTTGTCCAACTCCCACACTCCAGTGAGGCCCCCCAGCACCTCCAGCACCGGCAGCAGGGGAAGGTGAGTGTCCATGAACTCTGTCAGACTGAAAACATTCACACGGGAAAAATTCCAAACCAGAACTGCAACTGGCAAATTGTGCTGTGACATAATTGTGACCCCATGTGGTGATGCCTTAAAACAGGGCTCACCTGAAACAGAGGCCAGAGTTAAGAGAATAAAAGCAGACAGATTTAATCCAGGCCTGCAGGTGCATTCAGAGCAGACAAAGGCTCCTCCTGAGGCTACACCCAAAATGGATCCCAAGTCACAAAATCTTCACCTTTTATCAGTTCTCATGAACACATCAGGCTCCAATTCTCCAATCCCCCCAAGCTTGCTCCCCCCAATTCTCTGTTGTTTCCATATTTTGGGGCTCTGAGGCAGTGAAGTGTCCTTGGATTTCAGGCCCAGAGAGGAATTTTTTTGTCTGAAGATGGGAGATCAGTGGTTTTAGCACTATACTAGAGAAGTACAAGAATCCAGATACATGAAAATGCAGAAACTAAAAAATCCTAAAGCATCAATGGAAGAATGCTTACATGAAGATTTATATTTTTTATTTTTCCCCTTCACTATCATTCTCCTCTGTCTTGTAAACCGGCAATATTGTGAATATTCTGCTACCCTTTGCCTTTCATTTGGGAAAGAGTTACTTAAATTTCTTTTGCCCCGATGATTTATTTATCCTCTTCTTTCTCCAGCTGTGGCTCCTCAGGCAGGACTGCTGACAAAACTGGCCTGAGCTTCAAGGCTGACCAAGTGAAAGTGAAGCAAGAGCCGGGCACAGAGGAAGAGATCTGCAGCTTCTCAGGAACAGTAAAGCAGGAAAAAACAGAGGATGGCAGAAGGAGTGCTTGCATGGTAAAGTTAATTTGTGCACAGTGGGTTGTGGTTTTCCTGGCAGCGTGTTTAAGAATATGGAAAGGAGGAAAAAAAAAATTTTACTCCAAAGCTTTATTCTAAGAGGTATTTTCTCCTTGGCAGTGCTCTGCCAGKCACAGGGCTGTCTGTCAATTTTATCTTTCAAAAAATGTAAATTTTATCTTTAGCTATTAAAATGAAATGGAAGTTTGCTGGTTTTAATCTTATTTAAAAATTAAATAATTAAAGAATGTAAACATTTCATTTCCTTGTTTAATATTAATAAACATCAATTATAATAATATATCTAATTATATACCATTTTATATAACTAATTATTAATATTAATAATTTGTATATAAATGAAAATCTATGCCTATAATTAATTATATATGTAATATATAATTATACGATGTATTGATTATATATTAATTATATCATATTTAAAAATTAACAAAAGCTGTGAGATGGTAGTTCCTGGACATTCCCACACAGGTAATTGTCAATTAAAGTCCTTCAGTCAATTAAAAGTCCTTAGATCAAAATATAATTAGCAAATTAATATTTTTTGGTGTTTCTCAGCTCTGCTTGATTTAGCAGGATTGTGGACAGGGAGCAGGATGATGGATTTGGGGATTTTTCCTGATGATAATGAAGTTGTCATTAACAAGTTTATAACARCTTATCAGATTGTTATATCACTTATGATGTTATGTAGCAGAGGAAATGTGTGTTCTTGAAAGAAGGGCTTGTGAAAAAACAGAATTTGCAATTTGAAACCCAGAGTTGAGTTACACACAATACTCAACTYTTCCTGATGATTCCCCATGGTTTTTGGGCTGTGAGTGTGGTACCTTTGAGTGGTGGAAGCCTTTTGAATTCCAGCACAGGCAGGAAGACCCCACCCTAAAATCAACTCTAATTTTCCTTGCGCTGCTTCAATTTCAGCTCAGCAGCCCCGAGAGCAGCCTGACACCCCCTTTATCCACCAACTTACACCTGGAGAGCGAGCTGGAAGCACTGGGGAGCCTGGAAAACCACGTGAAGATGGAGCCAGCAGATCTGAGTGAGAGCTGCAAGCAGTCGGGGCACAGCCTGGTGAACGGGAAATCGCCCGTGCGCAGCCTCATGCACCGCTCAGCCCGGGCTGGGGGAGAGGGCAACAACAAGGATGATGACCCCAACGAGGACTGGTGTGCTGTGTGCCAGAATGGGGGTGACCTTCTGTGCTGTGAGAAGTGCCCCAAGGTGTTCCACCTCACCTGCCACGTCCCCACGCTGCTCAGCTTCCCCAGGTACCGCCAGCACCGTCACCCGGTTGTGCACAGAACACAAACTGGAGGTTCCTCCAAAATCACCTGGTTCTGGGTGGTTTCTTGTTGTCACAAAAATGTGGCATTTCTAAGGCCTTGCCTGAATTTGTGTGTAGCTGGTTGGTATTTATCTGATAACAGAATTGTGTGTAGCTGGTCAGTGTTTATCTGATAACAGAATCACGTTCTGTTAGATATTAGAAAAAAATTCTTCACTGAAAGTGAGGTCACACACTGGGATTGTCTGCCCAGGGAGGTGTGGAGTCACTGTCCCTGAAAGTGTTTACAAACAGACTGGACATGGCACTCAGGGCTGTGGTTTGGGTGACGAGGAGGGTCATGGATGGACTAGATGATCTTGAGGGTCCCTTCCAGCCTGGTTCATTCTGTGATTTTGTGAGTTTGTAAGTCTGTGATTCTGTTTATGTAAAGTCTCTCAGAGTGTGACTGTTGTGTTCATTTCAAGTTGATTTTAGGTTGATTTCAAGTTGATTTTAGGTTGATTTCAAGTTGATTTAAAGTTGGTTTTAAGTTCTTTGTAAGTTCTTTGTAAGTTCTTTGTAAGTTCTTTGTAAGTTCTTATGTTCTTCTTAAGTTCATTTTAAGGCGGGGGGAAAAAGGGGCTATAAAATATTAAAATATCACATGAGGGCAGGGAAAATGACCTTGACTGGCAGAATTGTTGTGAGCATCAAGGGTTATTCCTTAGCTTTRGGAATCAAAGTCTTAGTCTCAGTAGAGATGAATGTGTAAGAGTGAGCAAAAACTCTTTGTAATCATCACTGATGAAAATTTACCCCTCAATAACTGTTTTTCTCTTCAGTGGAGAGTGGATCTGTACATTCTGCAGAGACCTGAGCAAACCTGAAGTGGAATACGATTGTGACAATTCCCAGCACAGCAAGAAGGGGAAAACAGCGCAAGGCCTGAGTCCTGTGGACCAAAGGGTGGGTGTGAAACCTGCAGGAATCTGCCCAGGGAAAAGGGCTTTCTCACTTTAGTGCTTCCTCAGTGTTTGGGGATGGTTTTGCTTTGGATGAGGTGAATTAAATGTAGTTATGGCTCTTGCAAAACAATCTGAAATGACTAATGTTTTTTCCTGCTGTGGCCCCATCTCCAGGTGTTGGTGACAGTGGGACTGGAATCACTTAATAGCTAAAATTTAATATTAGCACATTCTTTGTATTTAAATGCATCAGTTAATGTGTTGTTAATTAAAAGTCCTTTGCATTTAGCATTGATGTTAACTTGATAAAATAGTTCTGTAWGTTTGAGGTGTTCAGGTGCATTCTGTGAGAGGTGCTGGGAGCRKTCAGGGGCATTCTTGRGGAATTKTAATGWCCTTGACARTCCCAATTATTTTTAGTTTTATCAKTCAGCCTCTGTGTAGTGTTAAGAGTATTATCAAATCAGATTCCTCCAGAGGAASTACAAGCAAAGCAAAGCAAAATATTTCAACAGGGAATTTATAGGACCACTCTGGCTTTGCTTTCAGATTGCTCAGTTTTATCTTGTGAGGAAGAGTCTGCAGCTCAGTCCTTTCCTGCTATTGTGATGACAGAAGTAGTGAAAGTGGTTGTAGCTGGTGTTTTATTTTTTAATTTGCAGTTTATTAATATCTCTTCATATTGACTTTAGCCCCGGGCTTTTGGTTGGGAGGGAGAAAACAAAGAGGAAATTTGTGAACAGGAATGATTGTGGACATTCCCTCCCAAGAACTTCACCTCTCCTCATTAAGTCATGGGGTTTGCATTTACATTTTCTAATAGTGAGCTGTTAAAGTACAAACCTATTTACAGTGGGGAGCTMTGAATTTCTGGGCTAGGGATCAATTAAGGATTTTAATCTCAAGCTGTTGATTTCTTTTGAAGAAATGTGAACGTCTCCTGCTCTACCTGTACTGCCACGAGCTGAGCATTGAGTTCCAGGAGCCAGTCCCAGCCTCGGTGAGTCTCCTGAAAAACACATGGGGATTTATATTTGGGATAACAGAAATTTGGAGCAGAATTTGGGAAGGAGCTGGCTGCTTTTAGTGGAAGTATGTCTCCCTTGATCAATCTAAAAGTTCTGGCAGCCATCCAGCGTCTCGTGGGGCTGGGAAGGAAAGCAGCTGATGCTGGAGCTGCTCCAGGCAGATGCTTCACTCCCAGCCTCAAAAGCAGATATTTAAAGAYCCTTCCAATTAGCAGTTACTGAGTTGGAACAAGATGTCTCAGGATACCCATGAAACTCAAAATGCTTTAGGAGGGGTTTTTTTCTTTTTGGATGAATTTTTGAATGAGTGGAGGGAAGAAATTGCTTTGAGTTTTTTGTTTTYAGCTGTAAAAGAAGAAACATTTTAATGAAAAGCTTTGCTTCGATAGACAGTGAAGTTTAGAAGGAATTCCAGAGTGGTTTGGGTTGGAAAGGACCTCAGAGCCCATCCAGTGCCACTCTGCCATGGCAGGGACACCTTCCACTGTCCCAGGGTGCTCCAAGCCCTGCCCAGCCTGGCCTTGGACACTGCCAGGGATCCTCTGGGCACCCTGTGCCAGGGCCTCCCCACCCTCCCAGGGAAGGATTTCTCCCCAATATCTCATTTAAATCTCTTCTCCTTCAGTTTAAAGGCCATCCCCCTTGTCCTGTCACTCTGCACCCTCATAAAGAACTTTTTAAACCATTTAAATTGTTCTTCTTTGCCTCAATTAATGGGATTAAGGCATTGATACCTCAGAGCAGAAATTCACCTGAGAGCTCTGTAACCATTCCAGTGATAAATCACTGCTGGTTTTTTTTCTTTCCCCAGATACCAAACTAYTATAAAATCATCAAGAAACCAATGGATTTATCCACAGTGAAGAAGAAACTGCAGAAGAAGCACTCCCAACACTACCAGACCCCTGAGGACTTCGTGGCCGACGTCCGATTGATCTTCAAGAACTGTGAAAGGTTTAATGAAGTATGTTAACTTCCAATCCCAACACTGGTTTTTGTTTTAGATTCAGGTTGATTTCATAAAATAAACAAACATTCACTGCAGCTTCTCCAGTGAAAGGCTCTGCTTCCAGCTGTAACTTCTGCTTTTGGAGCAGGTGCTGAATCAGGCTTAAAAAAAAAAAAAACAGAATTCAAGGTAATTGCAGCATGGCTTCTAACTTTGAGCTAAATTGGGAGAGGAGAGGAAACTTTTAAAATGCACTCAGTGGTATCTGTGAGTGAGGAGCAGGGTGACCTGGTTGCTGTGCCTTGAATTGGTKGTAGAAGTGCTCAGGAAGTGCCATAAATACAAACAAAGAGTCCTTGAAAGTGTCTCAAGCTGCCCAGGTAATTGTTTTACACTCATGGAACATAGCAGAATCCACTGAGAAATGTCCTCTACGAGGAAAAATGCTTTTCTGGACTTACTCTGGTTTTAGTGCCTCACACAGGCTGATCCAGCAAAGCTTTGTGGCTATTATGGCTTTAATTAACCTTCCTGCTTTAATTCCTAGGCAACTGGGCTCTCACAAAAATCAGTTTTCAGTGGGTAACTTGGGTATGGGGTCATTTTTTTTGCTAATTTTGCAATGATCCCATCTGATAATGAGRTATTTTTCTCGTACATGTAAAATGTGATTTGGGGAGATAAATGACCTGAGTGTTACTGCTAGTAGAGCAATGGAAAAAATAATACGAATATCGAAAAAAAAAAAAGGTGATATTGTGCTAAAACAGAGTAGGAGCTGAGAGGGTTCCTGATTGCTGAGATGCTTTAAAGCAAAGATGACAAAAAACATCAGAGGGAATGGCTCTTTTCTGACCTTAGAAATGTAGAAAGCAGAAAATATTTCTGTGTAAAATGTACCCTGAACTCACAGTGCTTGGGCTCCATCTCTGGCCCTGTGCAGGAGTAAACTGAAGGAACTGCACCAAGCTGCAATGAAAACCTCCCTGGGAAAAATCAGGGGTAATGAAGTGGTGCTGGAACTGCTCACAAGCATTTGGGGACAGCCCCAACTCCTTTATGGCCCTGCTTTAGGGAAGGAGCTGTAATTATGTGAACTTCCCAATCAAGGGAATTAATGAAGCAGCTGCTGTAGAGGAAACCATGCTGCAGCTCTTAAAAACCRGAGTTAAACAAGGAAGCAAGGACTGAGGGATGTGGTGATTTTTGTTTTTAATTTATAATTTTTTTTTTAAAAAGAGAAGAAGTGTTTCARCTTTCCTGGCTGGGTTGGGTCACTCTGCCCTCTCACAGCAGCACCACACCGAGTGCCTCTGAGCCAAAAGCTTTTGAAAAGGAGAAATCCAAGTGGGGGAAGAAATCTCCTGGAGCACTTTCCTCCAAAGGAGACCTCCCCAAAATCATGACCAGGCAACTCAGATTGAGCACAGAGGAACCAGTCCTGAGTAGAGAAACTTGTACCAAATTTGRGTGTTCTGTTGAAGGTTTATTTAGCACCTAGGAGTGTTTTAAAGTTGCTCCCTGAGTTTGGAAACTAAAGCTCACAAACCATAAGAAACTGTGCCATTGTTATGGTAATAATAATAATAATAATAGCAGTAATAATAGCAATAATAATAATAATAATAATAAATAACAACTATAATAATGAGAATAACGATAACAATAATATCTATTTTATGTAATTATATAAGAATTATATATAATTTATATATTTGTATATTTATATATTATATATAAATTTTATATATATAATTATATAAAAATAATGAAATGTAATTATAATAACAGTAATAATGAAAAAAAAGTGAGGAATAATTCACTGCATGGAACACATTTTTCCAGGGTTTACTGTGTTTCTGAAAGCAGCAAAACCTCTTTCATCTGACAAAATCTAAGTTCTCTACTACAAAGGCTTGTAGAACATGTCTGATCTTACCTCTGCACGTAGAAAGCCTGTCATGTTCTCCATGATATATAAGCAAGGCAAAAGCTAAACATTTGTGGCTTGAAATAAACTGCTTTCTGTCTTGTTATATTTCTCATATCCAGAAAATGGCTTATTTTAAGAAATAAYACAATTTTGAATATAAATACCATCATGTAAGTGCTGTCAATGCCCTGTTTGGCAGTGGGGTTTRTGTTAATGGTCTGAAGCAAGTCTAGAGCATTATSTTATGTCGGATGTCTAAAATCCAACCCCGTGCGATCTCGTAAGCGTTAGGGAGGATTATAATTTCCTTTTTTTTTGACTCTGGTATCCTTTTTAGATGATGAAAGTTGTTCAAGTTTATGCAGAAACACAAGAGATTAATTTGAAGGTAAGCGTTTCAGACCACGCACACTTGGTGAAGGGATGTGCATTTCCGACGGGTGAATGTTGCTGTCTTCTCTCGTCCACAGGCTGATTCAGAAGTAGCACAGGCAGGGAAGGCAGTTGCATTGTACTTTGAAGATAAACTTACAGAGATCTACTCAGACAGGACCTTCCAGCCTTTGCCTGAATTTGAGCAGGAAGARGATGATGGGGAAATAACTGAGGACTCCGATGAAGATTTTATACAACCACGTAGGAAACGCCTAAAATCAGATGAGAGACCAGTGCATATAAAGTAATCTAATGATATGGACCTAAAGTTTATTGTAAAAACTGTTATTTAAGTGTTCCTGGAATATTATCATGCCTGCAGTGGCCATCTTGAAGAAGCTGATAGCTTTTTAAACAGTATTAGAGAACAAAAAACACTTGTACAGAAAAACATTCGCATCAAAAGGGGAAAAAAAAAAACTTATTGTAAATTTTTGGTGGTTTGTATTTTTTTTTTCCTTGATTCCTTGCTATATTCTTTCTTTTCCTGACGGAGGGGACCCCCCACTCATCCTGGTCTCACAGACAGAGGTGGAGGAAAGCTGAAGAGCAGCAGATTTATAAGAGATGTTCCGTGGACAGATAAGACTGTGTTCTGCAGGACTGGACCAATTCAGTGGCTGCACCTTGTGTTACACCTCGGTGTAAACTGTGAGCAGAGCTCCTGAAACCCCCTCCCCGTGCCCACCCAAGTGTGTGTTGCTCATTGCTCTGATCATCTCATCCGAGCAGGATTGTGAATAACTCTCTGTGTCCATCCAGTCGTTGGCGTTTTGCTTTCGTTACTCCCATTTCATGTCGAGCGAAAGGAGAAAGAAAGAAAGAAAAAAAAAAATCATTAAACTGTTCTGAATTGGCCAGTGCAGGAATGTGAGGTTTTGGCAGATGAAAGGCTCAGCTGGTGGCTACAACCTCTTTCAGGATGATGAGGTGTAATTTATTCAAGTCCTGTACCCAGAACATTTTAATGGCGTTTATGGCAGAAGTCTCAGCGTTGTCACCTGTCCCTGACCCCCTGACGAGGCAGAATGTTCTCTCCAGTATTCATTCTCTAGTTTTCTGTACTTAAAATATAGACTGAAGAGGTAATAAACTGGTTGGGGTGTTTTTCCAGTCTTCCTAAATATCAGTTTCTAATAGACCACTCGGCAAACAATAACCTATTAACTACCAAATGTGTAAAATTTCCTGTATTCACTTTGTCTTATTTGTAAATAGTGAATTGAGATTTCTTGCAGATCAGCAACATTTGCTGAGCTGTTTTTAAGCTAATATGTATTCTTATTGATTGTTCCTATCAAGAAAAGATTTGTAATATATGCTATTTCTAACATTGCATTCATTTTGGAGGTTCTGTCTTATTTTTTTCTTAGAGTACTTCTCAGAACTTTTCTTCAGAWGCAGCTTGTGAGGGAAATTTCCAGAAAGATTGGCATCAGCCTGAGTTTGGGTTGCCTGTCCATCCGTTTGAACAAAGCACTTGCACAGGGTTTGGCCTTGAGTGGTTTTTGGTCAGATAGTGAAAWTTGAACAATTTCCCAATTCCCTCTGTAAGCCCTGAGGCGCCTCTGCAGTGCCTYCCCCTTGCACTGCCTCCATCCCAGCATTCCTGGTTAGAAATCATGGAATCACGAGGAGTTCCAGCTTGAAGAGTTGGTTTCTTTGCTGGCACCAGTCAGTACTAGAAAGAGCAAATATAATTCCTGGCTTTCTGATCTTGTTAAAGTTGGAGAGTTCGTATAAACCATGAGCTCGAGTTGTTGGAGTCTGAATTTGCCGTAATTTGCGGATCCAGCGATTCCGTGGGGGATCCCGGGGGTTTGGTGTGCTCAGCAATTCCTGTGACACTCTACACCCTTCACCCTGGTGGGAAAGGGAAATATTTTAGCACAATATCCAATGGAGAAACGCTCTCAGCAGTTTTTATGCAAATCACTGCGGATTTGATTTCTTTTGATAAGAACCGGGGCTGTGGACCTTGGAGTTCTCCCTCTCTGGCAATAAACGAAGGGGACTGAAGGTGTTTGTAACTTCCAGCTCACTTCTTTACTCAAATGTTACACTTCAACCTCAAACCTGGGTTTGTTTTTATCTCTCAGATGTGAACGGTGCCGTTTTAAGTTTTCTTTTTTACCAGTTTGTCTGTGAAAGGAAAAAGGAATTCCACTTGGACGTATTAAATGGACAAAGAGCAACAACTTTGCCCGTGGCAAGGCTGAACGTGTGTGAATAGGACCTTGGTAGTGACAAGGGATCATTTCATGGCTCTGTGTATTGCCTGTTCATGAATTTCGAGTTCCTCAGCTTCATTTTGCAAAAGGAATATTATTAAAATTATCATGATAATAAGATTTCTGTGAACTTCTCTTCACTTGGGGCTCCCGTTTTTGTGGTGCTTTGGTACCTTCGGGCTTCTTCACTTTTTGAGCTATTCTGTGGGCACTGCAGAGAGCCTGAGGCTTGGCCAGAGCGTGGGGTGGGCACAGGGGATCCCAAATGAAGCAGGGGGGACCCTAAAATGGAGCAGAGTGGGATCCCAAAAGGAGCAGGGAGATCCTAAATGGAGTAGGGGGATCCTGAATGGTACAGAGTGGGATCCCAAAAGGGAGCCAAGTGGCATTCCAAATGGAGTACAGGGAGATCCCAAATGGAGCAGGGGGAATCCCAAAAGGGAGCAGAGTGGGATCTTAAATAGAGCAGGGTGAGGTCCTAAATGGAGCACAGGGGGATCCTAAATGGAGCAGGGAGTTCCTAAATGGAGTAGGGGATCCTAAATGGTGCAGAGTAGGATCCCAAAAGGGAGCTGAGTGGCATTCCAAATGGAGTACATGGAGATCCCAAATGGAGCAGGGGGGTATATAAAATGGAGCACAGGGGGATCCCAAATGGTAGGCAGAGTAAGATCCTAAATGCAGCAGAGGGTATCCCAAATGGTGCAGAGTGGGATTCTAAATGCAACAGAGGGGTTCCCAAAAGGGAGCAGAGTGGGATCCCAAATGGAGCACAGGGGCACCCGAGCAGAGTTCAGTGGGATCCTAAATGGAGCAGAGTGGGGTCCCAGCAGGGCACAGGAGGATCCCAAATGGAGCACAGGGAGATCCCAGATGGAGCAGAGTGGGATCCCAAATGGAACAGGGTGGGATCTGAGCGGGACACAGTGGGATCCCAAATGGAGCACAGAGGGAAGGAGTCACCCAAAGCCCTCCAGGGCTCCTGCAGTGTCAGGRCCCTCTRCTCCCCACCCCGAACCCAGAGCAGCTCCAGGGTTTTGGGGCAGCCTCTCCTTTGAGGTGCCTCTCTCTCCCTTCAGGTGCAGAATGTGCCCCGTTCCTGCACCCCAGGACTGTTGAGCTCAGGCTGTTCCCTTGCCCAGACCCCACTGAACCCCCGAGCTTCTCCTCCCATTCTCTTTTATTTTTTTTTTAACTTTTTTTTCCCCTTTTATTTTGGAACTCCCAAAGCAGCACTTCAGCGATTGTTTTGAAGGCAGCAAAGTTTTATTTGGAATTATTTGAAAGGGTCGCTAAGCTCTGCTAATCCATTCCCTGATGCTGAGGTCTGGATGTTCATCACAGAACTGGGCAGGGTTCGCTCTGTGGGATCAATTTTCGGTGCCTTGGTGTTTGTCACTCGGCAGCCAATTACCGGGTTTGTGTTAATGAGCCACTAATTATCTGGGCATCTTCTCCGTGGGTGAAAGCGATTTTACCTGGGGAATTCATCAGGAAATCCTGGAAAAGTGTGATTCCAGGGGATGGCAGGAGTCTGGCAGCTCTGCTCTCCTTTCAAACCCTCCCAAAAATTCGTGTTTCAGTTTTTGGCTGRGAATTTTTGTCGCCCCTGAAGTTTGGAGTTAATCCAAAGAAAGGAAAGGTGACTTGATTTTGAAATGAGAGCACAAAATGGGAGCTGCTCCCTGTCCTGCCATGGAATTCCTGGTGATCACTGGGAATTCAACAGCTGAACAGGCTCTGGGCTTTTATTCAGCTTTAATTCACCTGGAATTCGCCTGGAGTGCAATAAGGCAGAGTTGTTGTCCAAAATAAAAATGTTCCCCCAACTTTTGCAGGCAGAAATGCTCAGTTAAATATCAGAGGTTGTCACTCTGAGATGTCACCCCTGTGACACTTCACTGTCACCCACTTTGTGCTGGATCAAACATTCCTTCGATCCGCTGGAGAAGAAATCCTTCAAATGAGCCCAAATTTCTGTTTTCTCACCTGTTTTATTGGCTGACCTGGAAAAGTTCAGGTGGTGGCACCAGGATTTTGAAGCCGTGTGTGTGTGGTGTCCTGGGAATTGGCTTTTCCTTGTTTTTCTCAYTCTCTTCCTCAGAAAAAAGCAATAAAACTGCTTTGTCAGCTGCCTGTCAGCACGGCAGGAATCCTTTCCTTTGGATAATGATTTACAGGGGAGTTTGTATGCAAATCACCAAGCCCAGCTTTGAAAAACCGAGTGTGCAGCAGCTCCTGACAACACCGAATGTGGCATTTTATTTTAAAAAATTGGGGAAAGTTCYATATCTTTTTAAGGAGTGGGAGGCAATTTTTTAAAATAAAAATGTGAATGTTTACAGAGATGGCACATACGGATTTTACCTTTGGGTYTGGTGATTTGTCTTCTCTAAGGCTCTTCCATTTGATTTATGGGGATCCTTCTTTCTGTGCTTTTTAATGATCAGTGTTGAATCAGCTTTCCAAAATCTCAGTTTGTTTGGGAATCTTTATTAGAAGTGAACTATAAAGGATATGAAATGCAGGTTTTGGCTTTTTCTATGGTTGAAATCACAGTTTGAGGCTGCTGATTTTCCAGTTTATGGGATTTCTACAGAGAGAGGAACTGAAATGTTTCATGRGCTGGGCTTTGGGAGGATTCAGTGTGGAGTGAGCTCCCCTGGCTCACCTGCAATGGGGGATTTTCAGGGACAGATGTTTATATTCCTACAGAGATTTGTGCAATTCAAAGTTTTGTTGTCAAATTCTTATTTTACATTGTTCCCCTGGAAGGGTTAAACCMTGGCATTCTTTGATTCTTCAATTATTTCCTGCTTCCAGTACTGGAACKGGCTCATTTTGCACACAATAACCCTGCCTCATCTTTTAATATAATTCTTCAAAAAACCCAAATGATATTTCTGTGATATTGTATTACCTGAATCATCTTATTTCACTTTTTAAAAAAAGAAGTTATCGTTTCTGATTGTTCTGTTCCTGTGTTTTTTGCTGGTGTGTAATTAAAAAAAAAGAAAAACCAGAAATTTTTCTTTCCCATGTTATTTAATAYTTCAGCTGCCTGTAAATATTTCTTGTCAAGTGCTCTGGAATGTGCTGTAAGAAACTGTGTTAGTTCTGTTTAAAGCATTGTTTRGAACCCATTTTGGTTGGTAATTTCTATTAAATCACAAAAATCATTCTTTCAATTCGAGTCTCTTTCTTGCCCATCGTCAGACRTGGATTGACACGTRGGAAAAGACTTTTACTGACAAYGGGAAGGARGGGAGGAATTTTGGAAGGAATTCAGGAATTTAGGAATTTAGGAAGGAATTTAGGAATTTACAAAGGAAGGAATTTAGGAAGGCATTTAGGAAGGAATTTAGGAATGAATTTAGGAAGGAATTCAGAAATTTGGGAATTTGGAATTTAGTATTTAGGAAAGMATTTAGGAAGGAATTCAGGAATTTAGGAATTAAGGAAGGGATTCAGGAATTTAGGAATTTAGGAAGGCATTTAGGAAGGAATTTAGGAATTTGGGAAAGGAATTTAGGAAGGAAGTCAGGAATTTAGGAATTTAGAATTTAGGAATTTAGGAAGGAAYTTAAGAATTTAGGAAGGAAAGAAKGAAGGAATTTAGGAAGGAAGGAATTTAGGAAGGGATTTAGTGATTTAGAAAGGAATTTAGGAAGGAATTCGGGAATTTAGCAATGAAGGCATTTAGGAAGAAATTTAGGAATTTAGGAAGGAATTTCGGGAGGAGGAAGGAAGGAAAGAAGGAGCCCTGGACCCCTCCCAGCCTGGGGTTTGTGCCTGAACTCCCCTAACCCAGCTGAAGGCTCTGCCCCAGGCAGCTCTGCCATGTGCCAGTAAATCCCTGCAGGCTCTGGGTTACAACAAACCCGAATTTTTTCCTCCCTTGCAGCTCCTGTGATGGTTCAGTGTCCCAGAGGCTCCTCGGTGGGATCTGTGCTCTCAGAAAAGCTTTGGTGCCTTCCCTGGAGCTCCTGTTCCTTCCCAAACACAGATCCTGTATTCCCTGCTGCCCTCCCTGCCAGGGAACGGCTCCTTTGCCTAAATCTGGGCACTTTGAGCCCAAAACCCGGGGCACTGCGGGCTCCGTGCCCTGCCCAGGCTCCCCCGGAGCTGGCACAGGAGCAGCTCTTGCMGGGGGATTTGTTTCTGTTTGCCAGGTTTTGTGCCCGGAGCGCTGCCACCCTCGCCAGCCCATCTGCTCCTCTCTGGCTGCTGCTGCTGCCCTTTGTGCCTGCCCTGGCATCTGCTGAGTGCAGCTCCTCTGTGCCTGCATTGCCTCCACAGCCTGCCTTGGATTATTGTTTTTTTTTCTCTTAATGCCTTGGTTTGAATTCTCCTGGTTTGAATTCTCTTGGTTTTTATTTTCCTGGTTTTTATTCTCCTGGCTTTAATTTTCCTGGTTTTATTCTCTTGGTTTTTATTCTCCTGGCTTTAATTTTTCTATTTTTATTCTCCTGGTTTTTATTCTCCTGGCTTTAATTTTCCTGGTTTTATTCTCCTTGTTTGAATTCTCCTTGTTTTTATTCTCCTGGGTTTTATTCTCTTGGTTTTTATTCTCCTGGTTTGATTTCTCCTAGTTTTTGTTCTCCTGGCTTTAATACTCCTGGTTTGAATTCTCCTGGTTTGATTTCTCCTAGCTTTTATTCTCCTGGTTTTAGGTCTCCTGGTTTGAATTCTCTTGGTTTTTATTTTCCTAGTTTTTATTGTCCTGATTTTTATTCTCCTGGTTTGAATTCTCCTGGTTTTTATTCTCCTGGTTTGATTTCTCCTAGTTTTTATTCTCCTAGCTTTTGTTCTCCTGGTTTTAGTTCTCCTGGTTTGAATTCTCTTGGTTTTTATTTTCCTAGTTTTTATTCTCCTGACTTTTATTCTCCTAATTTTAGTTCTCTTGGTTTGAATTCTCCTGGTTTGAATTCTTCTGATTTGAATTCTACTGTTCTTATTCTCCTGGTTTTAGTTCTCCTGGTTTTTATTCTCCTGGTTTTTATTCTTCAGGCTTTAATTCTCCTGATTTTAATTCTCCTGGTTGAAATTCTCCAGGTTTTTATTCCCCTGGTTTTTGTTCTCCTAGTTTTTATTCTCCTGGTTTTAGTTCTCTTGTTTTTTATTCTCCTGGTTTTAGTTCTCCTGACTTTTATTCTCCAGGTTTTATTCTCCTGGTTTTTACTCTCCTGTTTTTTATTCTCCTGGTTTGATTTCTGCTGGTTTTTATTCTCCTGGCTTTAATTTTCCTGGTTTTATTCTCCTGGTTTTTGTTCTCCTAGTCTGAATTCTCCTGTTTTTTTTTTTTTTTTTTTTTTTTTTT